CCTATTGTCTCTGCAGCTAAAATTAGAAGCTAATACTGAGAGAAAGCGCTGCGTTTGCTCCGAGGCTGCTGCTGATTAATTATCAGGAACCACAAATGAGGCGTCCACGCTGCCAGTGTGGGGTTCAGAGTCAGACCCAGAAAGATCCTCCAGAGTAGACTCAGTAGAGGAACCAAGTCCCCGAGACAAGGAAAAAAATGGTAGCTTTTGTTGTAGGACACCTCTGTAGTGCTGGTCCTGTTCGTAGCGTCACTTTCTCGGGGACTGTCATCCTCCTGGAGTCCTTAGGTCCTACCTGTCTTCTTAAATCTTGGTCCCAAACGTTCCCTGACCTTCTTGTTTTTGCCCCAATCTTTGAGAGTCCAAATCACTTCCTGTTCTTTGGTCATGTTCCTTTCTCAGAGAATCCTGGGTTGGCCGTCATAATTGTGATTAATTGGTTGTTTGACTTTGATCTAATTTAAAAAAACAAAGTTTAATTCATTCATATGACCTAAGATAGATCATTTAAACCCATTCTGGAAAGTTTTGTTTTTTTTCCACTCATGCTTGTACACTGTGTACTTCAGATCTGTAAAGGTGCCGTCGTCCAGCCCACGTTGTCCAGCCCACGTTGTCCAGGCAACGACTTAGCCACAAGACTCCACTGCAGACCAGCGTCCACATCCAGAAGCTTGTCCGTCCGTCACTCTGGGGTTTTCTGATCATCTGAGGTCAGTCTCTGTCAACACCTCCCTGTTTGTATCAAATTAGCTCTTTGATCGTGTGATTTCACAAATCTTTGAATGTTTGGATTTTATCTATGATTATTGAAGGTTTGTGCTTTAAATTTACACCAGTCAGGATTTGAACCAACATCCTCTCATTACAAAACGAATATCTCATGACATGTAGTGTTATGATTGACATCATTAGGACTAAAACCTATGACGTTTGGCAAAGCTCTCTTTCATCCACAGTTATTTCACTGACCTTTCGCTTAATTGTAAAATTTAAAGTCTTTTTAACGTGTCTCTAACAAGTGATCTAAACAATGTTGGTTTGTTTCAGGTTATTTTCAAGGATACAAATAATTTCCGCAGCATCTAAATTAATTCAAAGATAGATTTATACATAAAGGCGTCACTCAGTAATTATTGTCAATTAGAGTTAATTAGTTTTAGTGATGTGGAATAAACATTACTGGAGTTAAAAAAAAAACACAACAAATGACTGCGTTACAAAATGATACCATTTCAATTTTCTAAATTAGATTTTTTTTAAACCATGTTGCTAATGTTACTTTGGAGGCACAGTAGTTTCATTAAAGCAGTTTCTCAATTAAACTATTTAAATCAAACGTTAGATCACAAAGTTAAAACCACAGATGAAAAAAAAGCAGATTTAATTTAGGTAATCTGGTTGAAAACACGATCAACCAATGACAAAACTTACAACAATGTGACAGCATCAGTAAAAGATACTTTCCAGCTTTATTGGCTCCCAGTTGACAAACGCAGATCAGAACAGTCAGGTTTTCGTGATACACTTGACTGGGAATGATGCAAAAATCACTTCACTGCACCTTTGAAGTCAGCAGGTACAAACACAAACAAGACCTTTCATCACTTTTAAAAATGTTTTTTTCACAGCAGATGTGACAAACAAGACGTTCTCGTTCTGTTTTTCTCACCAACAGAGGGCGCTGTCCTTTCAGGGAGGACTATCACAAACACGGGCAACGAAACCCAAAACACAGTAAGATTCCTTCTTGTATCAAAACAGTTCAAGACCTGAGATTTTTTTTTGTGGAACATAATAGTTCTTAGACATAAAAAAAATCAAATTAATAATAATAATAATAATAATGTGTAAACTGTGAGAGCAGCTGAGAGCCACGTTTTCCCTTTGAAAGACTGAAAACATGCACCTTAAAAATTAATTTGCTTGCTTTAAAATAACTTTATTTTAAAAAAGGAACTTCAGCCGCATGTTTTTCAAACATCCTAGCAGCAACTTGGCTAATGTTGGACAGCTACGACGGAGATCAACAGTGCGTGGACTTGGCTGAAGGCGATGCAGGACTCAGACTATTTAAGACAGATCTGTTGTCTAACACGTGATAATATCTGACGGTCCAGATCATAAACTCATTCCTTGGGCACTTAGTAAAGAGTCCAGCATGTCAAAAGTGTTTTTATAGTCGGTGTGTTGACCGCTGACGGGCAACGTTCCATTTGTTCTGTCGTGACTGTTGTGCTCCGTCAGCCTGGCCACACCCTCCGATGTGTAGTGGGCGGACCCTCCGTTGGAACTGCGGCTGCTCTTGGTCGAGTGGTAGTGGTTCCCGGCCTCAGGGTGAGGCCTCTTACGTGACGAGCTGGACGCTCCCAAGTCGCTACCGTGGCTGCTGGCGGCCCGTGCAGACAGGGAGTGGGCGTGTCCATGTTTGCTGTGGCGGTGGCTGCTGACGCCGTGGTCTTTGTGACGATCAGACGACACTTTGATTCTCATTTTGAGCTCCTCGCTTGATGCTGAGCCGTTCTCCACAAAGGTTGAAGGAGGAGGTCGCGACTTTTTAGAGCTCGACTTTTCTCTCTTGCCCTCGCCCGATTGGCTGAGCTGCTGCGACTGTGAGCGTTTTTTGTGATGATGTGAAGAGAGCAATGGAGGCGGAGCGAAGTCCTCTGTGCTCAGCTCCTCTTTCACTCCATTGTGTGAGGCTATTTCCACCGCATGTTTCTCTCTGTACTTTTCCAGAGTCAAGACTTTGTGTGAACGTGAAAAGGAGGCAGCGTTTGCCGTCAGCTGCTGCTGCTGCTGCTGTTGTTTCCCTCCAGAACCACTGCTAACAGTCGGTTTGTGCTCCTGCTTGAACACAATAAAGTCCGTGTCTAGAGACTGAGAGAACTGGTCGTAGCCACAGCCCTTTGACTGACCGGCCAGGGGCTGAAAGGAGGCGTACGCCGAGGAGACAGCATTCAGGGAAGAAATGTCTGAAGAATCTGAGCTGGAGGGGAAGAAAGACGAGGTGACACCAGGAAGTCCATCGAAAGACGTCCCTTGGAAGGCACTGTCCACAGCCCCAGTCTCCGTCTTTGGCTTCTTAGCTGCTTGAATGGCCTTAAAAAAAATTCAATTTTAGACAAAAAGATATTGGCAGAATGTTGAAGATGATGATGATGATGAGAGCTTACCCTCCAGTTTCTGATCCTCTTCAGTCTGCTGGGAGTTTTCTCCAGAATCTGAAGAAACTCATGAGTGAGCTCTGGAAAAAAACCCCAAACACACTAGAATTTAGAATTTTCTTCAGAAAACCTGTGAAAAGTCTACAATTTCTCTAATTTAACCACGTTTATTCAAAATCAGTGTTCTGGGTGAAGTTAATCTGTGCGATGTTGATCGAAGTACAACAAATGTGAACTAAGAAGATCTGGACAAGAGAGAAGGCACTTCCAAATACAACAAGATTAAAAAAAAGTTGTTTTGAAAAGTTACTTAGTCAATTGAAAAAAAAAAGGCATTAAGAAAATGGAAAACTGAAAAAGGAACTCTAGGGAAAAGTCTGACCATCCAACAGGTGGAGCGTGACGTTTGGGTCCACATATTCCCACCAGGGTTTTCCATCCGTGGACACGGGAATCTCCCAGTTGGACCATTTACAGGCCAGATGGATGCAGACGCAGGCCACCACTGTGGGTCTGTACTCCAGACAGAAGGTGGTGAGGTGGAGACTGAGGAGGAGAAGACGGAAACACACAGAGAGAGAGAGAGAGAAGTTAACAGGAGGAGAACATGGTCCTCACAGGGTCACAGCATCAACACACACACACACACACACACAGCCAAAGGTTTCAATACTTCAGTTTCATTTAGAAAGCCGTCAGTGTGAAGATAAAGACAGGGAGAGATGAGAAATTGAAGCTGCTCAGTAGAAAAAAAACCCTTTCACACTAAAGAGTCTGACAACTTCTCTCAAGTGGCTCCAGATCTGATGTGAAAACCTCAGAGGGCCAAAGAATCCTCAGAAGAAACCTAGAAAGTTATCTAGAAAAATAGGTGTAATAATAAAGAAGAGAGACGAGTGTCGATCTACTCAACACTCACACCACAGAGAATGTCATCCACACAGAGAGCCATCAACAAAACAACTAAGTACTCCAGGACAACCATCTAGTGTCTCACAGTCATCCAGATCTACAAAGAGGAAAAAAGCCTGGAGGTAAAACCTACAAAAACTCCAAAGACATTTTTGTTAATGTCAGAAAGTCATGAGGAAACAACAGGAAAGTAGCAAAAAAAGAACCTAGAAAAGGTAACCAGGTGTGATGTCAACTAGACACGACACAGTGTCAAATGTCTGACCTGAAGACGTCATTTAAAGGCCAAAGAAAAGCTGCACAGAGGCCACAACTGGGCCCAAAGCCAGACTTTTAAACACGACAGGCTCAAACTGACAATTTTCTAAATATTTTTTAAAAAGGTCTGATCAATTTAACGTTTTTTTCTTTTTCATGGTTTAAAATGACTGAAAACAGTTATAAAAATAAAGAGGGCGAGTGGAGGTTACTTACCCGAAGCCTGTATAAGTGCATTAGAACCTTTAGTGGAATGAATATTCAGGCTACCATTTCAGTCTTTTTACACTAACAGTCCACACTGAGCGTTAACCCCGACTGTGCCAACACTGAGCCCCTGTACATACACCGCACAACGCTGCCCGGCCGGACCAACCCGCCCACTCAAACAGAGAGGACGGGCCTACCAAGGCCGGGCCGCTGACGGGGCGTTGGACACAGGACGGGGACAGGAAGCTAGAGTGTGCCATTACAGAGCAATAATGGGAACAGGATAATAACCTGTTGGTAGCCATGAAATAGGAAGTCTGTGCCAAATCCTTGCTCGCTGCAAAAACAAACACAGGAGGAAAATGTGTGTTAAGAGTTGTTGATGGGGAAAACCAGACAGACTGACTTAAAGCTTCAGTCGTTTTTAGAAGATCTGAAAATGATTTAAGGGGAAAAGGCATCAAGAACACATGGAATGATAACAGTCTACAGCTCTTACACTAAGTCCATAGAGAAAATCTGTCATTTAAGCTGACAGGGACACAGCTGCTGTAGTCCACTGAAGAGTTCATGTGTGTTACTGTGTGACATCACAGCCACAGAGACCTGATTCTAATTATGGCTACAAAGAGGACACAAACTGATCACAAGACCAGTCACTGCTGTGGTTTCTAAAGTGGGCGCAAAATAATTGAAAATAACAAAAAAATAAACTCTGATTCAGGAAAATTGGAATTCAAACTGTTAAATAATCAATTTGGGTCGAGTAATTGTTTCAGCTTTTGGATTGAGATAGAGCCGACTTATCCTTTCAATTGAACACATCCCTCAAAACTAAGGACAAATCTTTCAATCATTAAACTGTCTTAATCTGTGTGATGCTTTCCACCCCTGGTTTTATTGATACTTTCAGAAAGTAAAATAAAAGCTCAATACTTAAGAAACGCGTCGTACCTCTCACTAGTTGTGAACATTTGACAACATCTGTGTGTGGATGATCCACTGTTATTTCAAAACCTGAAATGAAAAAAAGACAAGAGTCAGACACGGGAACATTAACTCACCCACTGGGACTAAAGCTGAGAGATCTGTTGCCTGTCCCGACTAACACAATCAATTCACAAATTCATTCACTCAAACGTTAGTGTAAGGACCAGTTTTCTGAAGTTTCTCTAAGACTCACCCAGTGTCTGCAGCACAATTGTTTCCAGAGCTACGAGCTCTTGTGACAACTGCAGGAAGGCCTGAAAAGAAAAAAAAAACTGTTATAGAACAGAGAAAAAGAGATGTTTTACAAGGAATACTGATGCTAATATATATGCTAAAATAACATTTAAATAACAGTTTAAGACAGATCAGAGAAAAGATCAGTGATTTTAGCTGACAAGGGACAAAGGAGGTGCTGGTTCACTGCTGCCTCCAGTGGTCACTTTGTGTCACTGGAGTAAATCTGAACAACGGATGTTAGTGAGGTCACAAAACAATACAAGAACTTAGCGATGGACATTTTAGCTTTTGGTAAAAAGTTCAACTTGAACAACGATTCTATGCCAGCAACTTTGAGTGGATGATAAATGTGTCTATCATTTAATCCAATATCATCTTTTTTTTTGGACAGTGAATTAACAGTTGACAGGAAGCTGAAAAATACTGATTTGGACTGACGTTGCTCTTGGTGTCGAGCGGGGGCTCCTGCGGGTTCATGCAGGCGTGGGCGATTTTAATGACGTGCTCCAGCTTCCTGGGCTGCTCTTCAACTTTAGCAGCAAGGAACAGTGTGGTCTGAGAAATTATCTGTGAGGAGAAGATTTAGTCAGAATAAATGACAAACCTATGAAGCTGAAAATGTCACCTACGTCTTGTACTACTACCACTAGTACTACAGCTGTCGTCATACTTACATTCCTATGGAACTTAGTGAAGGAGTTGATCATGTAAAACCTGTGCATGTAAACTATAGCTGTGTTGATGATGAGCTGAGAGCTGGAAACATGTGGTTAAGGTCTGAAGATTGCAGGGCGACATACTGTGGTTAACACTGATCCTTATATAAAATAAATAAAAATAAAAAAAAGAGACCAAGACTCACTGAAACAGAAAAGTTAAACCAGGAACTAAGAACTGCATTAGAAACAATGTGCTTTCACTACGTGAATCAGGAATCTGCAGATTCACCGCTGGAGCAAGTACTTGGACAGAACTTAAAGGAACTATTACCAATAACTGACACTGTGCAAGGACTTAAGGGTAGGTAGGACTTTGGTACTATTTGACTTTCTAGTTTCCCTTTCTGCACCATCACGTTTGGTTTTCTAGAGAAGTTGCATGTAATCCGTCATCTTTTTCCTTGATGGTTTGTATTAAACGTCCAAAAACCACTGTGTTAAGTTGTGTCTCTTTAAACAAGGAAATCATAATCGCATCCCCGTAATACTAAAATTTCAACCGTCTTACTTTGGACATTTTACTCACATTGACATAACACCACGATCCAACATTGAGTAGACAGAAAAAGACAAATGCAGTTTTGTGACCAGCTTTTGTTTCAAAGTTACCCTCGTTCTCATGAACACATACGTAAATGTCTTCACGACAACATATGAGTTTACGTTATCACAATAGAAGATTGGACACCAGACTAAAATAACGTTTCGGAAACTACTTTCATTACGTAACATATTGCAGTAATATGAACCATGACGAGATCTGAGATCATTTCCAAAGCAGCAAAAATCGATTTAACAGGATACACGATACACGTCTTGCTCCACTATTGTGGACGAGATCGAGCAGTAACCATTGTTGAACCGTTACTGACATAAATCATATACTGCAGTGAACCTGTTCCTATTGTAGCTGGTACTTATCACAAACTCTAATCAATAATAAATACACAGTTTTTGATTTTATCACACGTCGTGGATGACACTGGTTACAGTAAGAAGCGAATCAATTGCGTTAACAAGAAAAGGCTTAGCAATTTAGCAAAAAGCTACCTGGAACAAAACGTGTGCCCTGTAGGATTAAAATACGTCCTAGAGCATTGGATTTCAACTAACCTGTTTCGTTTACGTGTATAATGCAGGAAAGACTCTAATGGAATGAAAGGGCCACCTATCCCCGTCTTTCCGAGAGATAATCAATGCAGCCTGCGGGAGCTAACAATAGAAACTCCAAAGAAAAGACAAAACAGAAGCTAGCAGCTAAACTAGCGCATGCTAACAGGCCTCAATGCCGCTGGTGCTAAGGGTTATGTACAAATTCATTACATACTCCCTGCATTCGCTATAATTATGCAGGTTAGGAGCTGAGAATATTTTTAAATAAATGTAATACTAACACCATAACACACAGAAACTATCGCAAGCTCCCTGACACTGCCAACCGAAGCTAGCTTTTCCTCATAAAGGATACACGTTCAGTTTCTGGCCCATGTCCTGGATGAGATTGGCGGCCTGCTGGCGGTACGAAAGCTCCCTGTCCGCCTCGATACCGCAGCGTCGGGACGGCGTGTTCTCCAGCTGCTCCCGGGTAAAGAGCCAATTTGTGGAGGGTCCCCGGTGCACCGCCATGACCGACGCTCCCGCAGCGGCCGAGCCCGACGCTGTGAGCACCGGGAGGAGCGGGCAAGGGGCCGTCGAACCGGAGAATCAAGAGAAGAGGAGAGGATGCACTTGAAAGGTCTGAGGGTTTATACACAGCGACGTCATGCGGCTAGGCAGTCCAACTGCAGTCATTATTTTTCAAATTAGCGAAATTATAGATATCGGATAATCTAAAAATATTTTAGTTATATATTCACACACTATTCATAAAAATCATATTTGAAAAGATGAATTTTCCGATTGTTATTATTGTGTTTAGAACATATTTGAATATTTGTACAGCATTTGTTTTTTCCTTATGGTGTGTGACACCTCTCCCACTAGATGGAGCCATTGTTTACTATTTTTGATGTTTTGTTTTTTTTAGATTTCTATAAAAGTCAACACTGTTAAAACATGGACGGGATCGCTGTTTAATTATAATTCTTTTTTAATTAGTATCAGCCACCGGGTCACCTATACACAAAGAACAAGGGGAGCGTTAAGTTATATATCCTCAAAATATTCATAAAAATCCATCTTCATCTTCATAGGTAGGTTTTTTTCACTGTGTAAAAATGTTTAACTGATTTAAGTGTGCAAATCTTTATATGCTTTGATTTTGCATGTAAGAAATAAACACAGAGAAGAACAGAAGTGGACTCGAGTCACATGACTTTGACTTGAATCATCAATTTGATGACTTTGACTTGACAAAGAATGAATAAATAGGCTCCATAATGGTCACTAATTTAATGAGAAACATGCAGAAAAGGTAATTTTTTACAAATTAAATTTTTTAAAATATTAATATGAAATATTTCATGAAAATAACGCGAAACTTATCAGGTAATAACGTAAAGCTTATCACGCAATTACGTGAAACGGAGCCAATTTATTTTCCCCTCAGTGTGGCAGCAATACGCTTCCGTAGTGTGGAGAGGTTTCCACATTTAGAGGTTGTTGGTTAACACACAGACGATCCCTGAGCGCTGGTCTTGTGCTGGTGGGCGGTGCTCATGACCAGACTAAATCTCCTCGTCCACTTCGGTTCAGTTCAGACCGCTTCACCCACACATCCTCACACACGTCCATATAGAGTGAGATTCACATAAATACTCACGTAGGCTGAGACGAACACGAACACGCGGCGTAAACCCTGACATTTAAAGACATTCACCACCGCCGCCGTCACAGAAGGTAAGCGTTCGTTTCTTCTAACGTCTATCCTCTCCTCCGCTGCTGCTGTTACTGTTACTGTTACTGCTGTTACTGTCCGCCCTGACCGTAGCAGTACTGTCCTTTTGTGCCTTTGAAGACGTGCGCGCGTGTGTGACTGTCCGTTAGCACAGATCGTTCATTAAAGACAGAACAAAGCCAATAGCCTAACGTCTGTTAGCTCCTTACATCGTTCCACTTGTGTTGGGGCTAACAGTTAGGAGCTAACGTCTGTGCTAACTAAGCTTCATTGTTTTTCTATGACAGCATATCGTTGTAGCTCGTTCCCTTTAAAATGACCGAGCTCTACTCCTCTGTCAAGGAGAAGCGTCTTTATATGTCTGTCATTCTGTCCGTAGCTTATTATTATTGTTATTATTTGTTGTGTGTTTATAATTGTAATTTTGGTCTGTGTGGAATGTATTGTGGTCTGTTTGTATTTCCCCTAAATGCTTGATTGGCATGTTAGTGGTTATTATTTATTTATCATTCTAATTATTATTTTTATATAGTAACACTTATTATTTAACACTTCTTTTGAATCAACTCTCAAATTAATAATGATTTAATACATTTTAAAGTAGCAGCAGTAGTGTTTGTTTTTCAAACAATATTAGGCTTCATTTATATTACATATTAGATATTATTTTACATTAATATGGGTTTATTTTTTATTTTTTAACATATCATTTGTATTGATTTTTTTAGAAAATGTTTCATCTTGTTATACATGTTTAGACACAAACAAAACAGTAATACTCCTTTATTTGACCATGTTTATTACCAGACCACTGCTGTTAATAAAGAGAAATAAACAGTCGTTAACAACTGAGCATTAAAGCCAACACTTTATCTTCACGGAATACACGGTTGCATGTTAAAAAGAAACACAAATAGTATTTGTGTTTTATGTTCTTGTCCAACATTCATTCATTTGTATTATCTTGTACAACCTACAAAAACATTAGAGAAGTGGTTTAGAACCCCAGTTTAATAAACTCCCCCCATCAATCTTCTTGTCAAAGTAAAAGATTTTTCTTTGCATTTTATCACTTTTTGCTTGTCGTCAATCCTGTGGTGGATGGATGCTCAGACTAAGAAGCACTCAGGTCAGGAGTGTCCAGTAATCCTCAGAGTGTGGGCTTGTTTTAATTAGGTTAGGCGGTGATCATTTAATTTCTTAGGTTATCAGTTCATCCTCTGTCTTTAAAGACTTCTCCTGCTCCGTTGTCTTATATGGTGTATCCTTTTAACATCACATAATTGTGCACTGCAAAGCTGTGAACTGATGCTCAGTGTAATGAGCGTCTCAAGGTGAACCACCTTAGCCCAGCGCCAGGCCTGCCTTCATAAAGACTTCATTCAGTGGCTGTTTTTTTCCATGGAGCCCCTGGGATTAAGAATCCAGAAAAAAAACAGGGCTTTGCCTTTGGTAGCATACTTTACTGGCAAGAAATTGTAGAGTTTGTGTGTGAGAGTCGTGTGTTTGTGGATGAGTGAGTGAACAGCAGGGGGTTGTGTTATAGGGCCAGCAGAAGTTGTGGATGGATGGTGGAAAAAAAGCAGTGGGCTGTGGTGCAGGGAGGTGGGACACTTTGAGATTATGAAGTTCCTGTTCTATCCCTTTTACACAAACACACACCACCCACAAAAGCAAATACACTCTGACAACACCTGCTTTTCTACATTTGTTTACTTCGTGTCAGTATGTTGTTGACATTCTTATTTAGTCAGAGGTTAGTAACAAAAACATTTTAATACTACCTGACTAGAATCAGCCGTTCAAATCAATGATTTGGAGAATAAATTTACTGTTGAAGTGTTTTGTGTCAGTTCTGTGGTATATTAACTTCTTATATTACACCATATTTCATTGAAAATCAGTGATAGATCAATGATGAATCAATTTACCTCATTGACACTAACTGGTCACAGGACGTAGCACTGAGATGGCGAGTATTTTTCAACCTAAAATGCAAGTTATTTCTGTGCACTCTGAGTTATATTTTTAATCCTTTTTAATGATTAAAGTCCACTTTCAGTCCACTTGGCTGATATTCTATAAGAAAACTTTTTTACATGACAGCACAGAAACAGCTGTTGTGAAGGTGTTATTTTTTATTTGTGCATACAATACTTTATTGGTATTTTCCCAATAACTACTTGAAGGAGCAGTAGCCCTATCAGCTCCAGTGACATGTCAGCTAAAATTGTATTGAATTTGTATTGTATTGATTACTTTTTGACTTCAATGGTCGTGATAGTATTTTTACTGATCGTAAAACAACGACTAAAAATACAGCCATGTAGTCTTTGCTTTTTCTTGAATATTCTGTGAGCTTCCTGCTTTTTCTCCTGTACCAAGTTGTCAGTAACCTAACAACATCAAGGGGTTGTTGATTCACTGCTGCCTACACGAGTTCAGATTTTTGTTTTGGTTAGTGTTACTTACCAGTTGTGGCTGTTAGCTAAAATCACTGATTTTCTCAATGGACTTCACTTGAGGGGAGGGAAAGATGATCCTTTCCTGTTTCCTGTGAACTTGGTCTCATTATGATAATGGATGTCCCTCTATGCTTCAACATCATCTCGCAGCACTACAGCAAACCACAACTGAAATTAAGAGCATGCCAACCACCCACTTCCACACTCAGTGAACATTTGTCTTGGCTTGCTGGGAAACACAAACAGAAAGAGTTACCTTGCCTTTGTGGTAAGTTTATAACACAGAGTAAATATGAGTTTAAAAAAGTAAAAACCTATTTCTTGTGCGGGATGGTGGCCTTAAAATACTTTTTTTAAAAACTTGAGTCAACTGCTCTTTCCAAACACCTGTTGAACCATATTATAATTAAAGCTGAAAAGAAAGTGATAAAAGTTCTGGATGTATTTAAACACATCTTGAAAAATGAATAGAAGTATTACGTATAAGAACATCTCCATCTGTGGCCTTTCAGAGGGTTTAGAGGATTTGATATGTATTAAGAGTCAAACAGCAGCATTAGGATTAGTTTTATATTTGAACGAGAGGGTTATTGTGCACGAAAGGAGGCTTTGATGCTGTTGGTGACATAGTAATACAACAGTGAGCTTAAACATGTTTTCTGGAGTTATTTTACCTAGAATAACCACCCCAGTTCTTTTGGTTGATCTCTTGCTTTTTTCTAAGCAGTTTCCTGTTTGTGGTAAGTGATAGCTTCACTGACCCTCACCAGTGTAAGAAAAAATGCCCTTGTACTATAGCCTCCTTGTCTTTCCAAGACTATGCTGTATCAGAGGTAGACATGGTGCTGACTGCTTCAGTCCATGGAAAGAGAGGACTGGATTTCTAGGGTTGAGCTTGGTATCAGGTGTCTGTAGATGTCTGAGGTTGAGCTTGATTTGAAAAAAAAAGAAAAAAGAATGATGCAGCAGAAGCAGAGATGCAACACAATATTTTACACAATATTCCTGTCTGGTATTAAGAAATCTAAAAAAAAAGTCTGATGGGAACACAATGAGGTAATTTCAAAAGCACACAAATTGATGTTTCTGCTTTGTGCAGTTCTCATCACACTGTAACACCTACAGAGAACATGATCGAGTTCCCCTCACAGGAGTGAAGTGTAAAGGCAGAAATCAGATTGGATATTTTCAATACAGAATTTAGTACTGGGAACATGGGGTGGTACCGTTAACAAAGTGTTTCTACTACAGTCGTAACTGTAGTTGAAACAAAGTGTTTCTACTACAGTCGTAACAGATCAACATGGATAAAACCCCAGAGAAATAAAGAACTGCAAGAACTATTTCAGGCAGAACTTGTCAGACGCACCTACCTCATTGGTTGGAGGACTGACTTCCTTTTATTTGACAGACCACTTAAAACATTTCTTTCTAGACTTTTACAGAAGTCCAGAAGTCTGTAAAGCATTTGTGTGAAAAAACCAAACAAAAAACAGATACAAATGTTTAAGCCAAACAATGACTCAGGAAAGTTTACACTTGTGTCTATCCATGGGTCACACGTCACTTATCTGGTTGCGGGCTTCACACCCACAGCTTCTCTGGAGGACCTTATGAATAATTAAGAGGAGAAGCTTATGTGAAGAAGTCCATTAAGATGCAGAGTCACACTGCTCTCCATGGCAGCAGGGACAGATGACCAGGATCATGTCTCCTGTAGTCGGTGTAGCAGGGTGAGTGTGAGGACGAAGATTTCACTTTCGTGCTCATCTTCTACAAAAATTCCCAACTGTGAGATTTGTCATCTTGTAAAAGGATTATAAGTAAAACTGGTCTAGTCTTATTCACCTCTCTTACTGTCCATATAGTAAACAAAACCATATCAACTGAAAGAAGTCCCTGAAGGTGTTTCTGTTGTGTTTCATTCCATTTATTTAATATCAATAATTACTAAGCCACTTCCAGTTATTGTCATTCTTTGTTAATAGGTTTTAAAATAGGTTGAACAATAATAGGTTGAACAATATAATTAGCTTAACGTCATCTGTATTTCTTTTTTACTAATAACTTGTGGATCAGCAGCATCTTTGTGCTTTTCTGTTAATGTTTATTACTGTGTTTTTCACTGTTGTTGTGACGTATTTGTTGGGTGTCAGTCACTCAAACTGTAAAACATGTTTGCAGTGAAAGTGGAGCTGCAGCCACAGGAGAGCTCTTTGAGCCAGCACAGTAATAAAGAAGGTTATTTATAAAAACCGATACTTTAAAAAAGAAATCAATAATGGATGGGCAAACTGCATCAAGAGTGTGTTTCTGTGCACTCAGTGCTTCTACAAGGGGCTCTCAGCATTAGGCTCTGTTTTTATACGTGCAGACCAGTAACACAGTGTTTACCACACACTGCCATCTGGCTCAGTTTGAACAATACATTTGACCAAACCAGGACACAGACCGTGTGATTAGTCTTAGCAGCATGGATATGAACATTACTCTTTAAATACCCCTGTGTATTTGCTCTAAACCATTTCTATCTGAGAGGAAGAATTTGGTGACACACACACACACACACACACACACCTTGTTAGCTGATGTTGACCTGTCATCTGTCTGGCTTTCTAGAGATATGTGCACAGTATTTAACATGAAATGCCTTGTCACAGCATCATTCACACAAGGTGGTGCCCACTGACTTTTGACTTTTTATACTACTTTATTATAGTCACCTCTGCAACATCAAGCAGGAAACCAATAAAACTGTATTCTCAGAATATTCAGTGTTGTGTTTCCTGAAAGCAAAGCTGAGCCCCCTTAGTTTATCTGCACTGCAACATCTCAAGTTAAGGTCTGTTGTGTGCTGATATAGTAAGAAGCCTTGTGGCAGATTAAAGAAAATGTTTTTTCTCTCAGGACTTGAATAGAGTTACGTTTCTCTGTCCTCATCGTCTCCAGAACAGGTTGTTGTTCTGTAGAAAACAACTGTTGGAACTGTGGAGTTTCATCGGGCTGTGGGTGTTCGAGAGCTGTGGGGCTAACTATCAGACGTATTCAGGTCCTGAATAAGAAAGCAGAAGGTAACTGACAAAAATGCAGGCCAATCTGCACCAGGAGTGACGGAACCAATAGTCTGTTTTCTCTGTGGATTTTACAATCTGTCATCAGAAATAAACCCAACAGTTTGTGACCTTTTCTTTTTCTTAATACAGTTTGTTTTGTGTTAATATTAGTCAAAAGTGGTTATTCATAAAAAATATTTTTAGGTCAGGTACCTGGTCAAAACTACTGGTTTTGTCTGGTTATTTGTCATGCTTTTTGCCATTGGATATATAATACTGTAGTTTTCTTTTTTTTAAATCTTTTAAAAGCTTAGTCCTGGTTTAGTCCTCATCTCAAGATATTTCTCAATGCTTTTGTCTCTTGTCAGGAGGGTGCTTGATAAGTCAGAGCAGGCAGGAGCATAGTCTAAGGAAGTGTGAAGCTTGTGTTGTGGGCAAGCTTTGGCTCAAAATACAGATTAGCCCTGAGCACAGATTTTCTCTGATAAATGGCCTGGTTGGTGCCGCGCAAATGTCGCCAAATCTTTTCCAGCCTTCCACAGACACAAAGTCCTGAGCAGCTAAAGACATCTGATGTTATCAGAGCTGCAGACTTCACAGCTCCTCTGCCAAGAGCTTTACTGACAAATTCATAGTTTTTTTCACATCAGGTTCCTGAGAAGTATAGCCTTGGAAGTGTTCTTTGGAAGTATACATCTAAATAATGGACTGAAAATGAAGGCAGGTCTGTCCTTTGTATCCGTGGAAAAAGTAAAATTATAGACACATTAAACAAATAAACTTAAGGAAAAAATGAATAGGTGATACTTCCAGTGGACTCACCACCTGCAGGAAGGTTCAGGGGAGTTGGTACGGTGCAGTGTGATTTGGGTGGCGGTTGTGAAGACTGCTGCCCCCGCGACCTGGTAACGGATAAGTAGATGAAAATGGATGGATGGATGAATAGGTGATAAATAAATAAATAAAATATCAAATTTTGTGAGCGTTTTTCCAGGATGAATGGTTTATCACACAAGTGCTGCCAAAATGTATGTTGAATAGATCAGTAACCCCATAGAACACACTCGAAGTTTTGTTTCCTGTAAGATTTCAGAATCAGTAAAACAGTTTTGAATTCATGTTTCTCAGTAAACAGTTCTGTCGTCAGCAGGATGCTTGTGGTTAGTTAGATGGTGGTGGATGGATTGGTAGAGGAGTTTAAGAGTCTGGTTCTGACCTGGTTTAAACTGCTCTGAAAAGTTTTCCTGATCAAAAGCAAGGCTGCAGAAGTCCCCTCCTCTCCACCTGTCGTATTTCCATCCATGGCAGCAGAATGCCAGTGAGAGCAGAACATCTAATCCATTCTCCAGTTTATCTGTTTTCTTTTGGCTTCAATGCTCTTCCTTGTGCACTCGTGCGTTTCCTAAAGCCAGGGGAAATCATTTAGCTGTGTATATGGATTGCTTCAAGGGCAGTTAAAACTTGATGAACTATTTCTGAGCTCAACAAGTGCTGCAGGTCTGCCGATGGCTGGGGC